GCAGTAGGGTACATTTGGTGGGGTTTGTGTGTGTGAGAGACAGTTTGTGTGTTTCCGATCAAAGATAAAAAGATAAATCCTGCTGCCTGTCACCTCAGGGAGATGATGTCATTATCTGCACAGCAGGAAGTGACTGTGGCAAACAGCTGACTTTGCTCACGATGATTAAAAAAAGACGTCCTTTTTTTGCAGCTGCAGCATGACATCATTGCATTTGTTTCATTTATCAGCATCATGTTATAAATTACAATTTGCCCTCTATTGGCTTATATGCTAATTACAAACAAAGCAACAACTGGAAAAGAAAGAAACACAAATCACAAGGAACAACCTCTCAGATGTATATAAATCCATATGTTGTGCATATATAAATCCTAAAAGCATGGTTAGATTTAAAGATTTCATAATCTTTTACAAAATCTAGCTCAGATAAGCCTTGTTTATCCCAACAGGGAGTAAATTACTCTTCTTCGGCATCTGATGTATTATATTTGTATACATACAATATGATATTGCTAACCCTAACACTATCCTATTGATTGAGTTTAACTTGAGGTAGATATGTTATAGTTAAATGTAACAATCTTTTTTTCAAGTGTACAGTAAATTGATTGCTCTTCTGTTTCTGGGTCTTCCCTCCACACATTTTGTTTGTATTCACAACTCGCTGTGCTTTTAATCATACAATGAATGCAACTGTCTCACAAAATCCACATCCTCCTCAATGGGGGATTTGTTATTTTTATTGTAAGAATTATGCTCGTTAATTACATACATATTTTACATTCCTTAGAGCAAGTTCACTCTGGGGAGTACCACAGAAAAACAACAACAAAATGTGTTTTTTTAGATGCCAATTAACACTTCACACGTTAGAGTGGATACAAAAGGATAATTAGATTATTTGACTGCAAAAGCCATTCATGTTTTCATGGCATTTATTTAATCAGATTGTGCTGATTTGGAAAGAGTTCCATTAGCATGCATATTCACAGGATATAGATAATATATAGACAAGAGTCTCATAACAATGGCATTTCACATACTGTACTGGGCTGCAACACTTTGCCCAAATGATTTATATTCAGTTGATTTATTTTGATTTTGCGGGATGAAATTCTTAATTTTCTTCCCAGGTAGCTGCCATGTGGTTCTTAATCAGGAATAAACCATTTATATATACATTGTTTTCAATTTATACACACATTTATTGTGACCATCACAATTATAGAATAACAGAATCTTTTAGACAAACATATGATGTTAGGCAGTCCATTTTTAAAAGTTGACATTCTAGAAAGTAGAAAGTAATCTACAGGGATAGGGTTAGGGGTTACTGGGTAGATTAGTGGTATGTACTGTATGTATGTGTATACCTGTACATGTACATACAATACCCCTAATCAGTAATAGCTACCTTCTACTTTAATACAAATAGTTGACCATATCTAATGGAAATTATCCATTGTCATTGTCAAAGTTCAAACTTGACAAGAGCTAGCTTAAAGTTCACTTCACACAATTAAAATTGAAGCTTGGAAGCTATTATTTTTTTATTTAATCGTTTATTTCGCATGGACAATGCACGGTAATGAACACTTAAAACATTCAAATGTGTCAAGCGTAACAGTGCCAGATTTAGCTTTTAGCTAATTTCCATCCGCAGTCCCTCACATAAAAACATTTAAGAAATTTACATTTTACAAACATAGTAAAAACAAAATACATGTTATGCAAAAAGTGCAAAAGAGCAGCATACACAAGTATTTATGACATTGTAATACAATATAGCAGCAACGACATATAAAGTGCAAGAGAAGATACAAGAGCTACCTAAAGTGCAAGAGGAGATACCCCTGTGTTAAAGTGCATTTAGCGGTGATTACACGTCTGATTGTTTCTCATCCATTCTTTGAGTTGACCTTTGAAGCTATTGACAGAGGGACAATCCCGTATCTCAGTTGGGAGGCTATTCCACAAAGAGCTGCCTTTAATGGAAAGGACATTTTGTCCAAAAGTGGTCCGTCTACGGTGGACTTCACAGTCTCCTCTGGTTTCTGACCTAGTGCAGAGTCCAGTGTGTTTTTTGTGGATGAATTCCCCTAAGGGAGGGAGGGGGGGGCCAGTCCATGTAAACATTTATAAATAAAACACATACTTTTAAAATACTTAAAATGGTCAAAACTCAAGAAATTGTGTTTTTCAGGGATGGTACAGTGATATGAATAAGGCTTTCTGTCAAACACCTTGATAGCTCTCTTGTACAGCTGTTCTATGAATATTAAAGTTAGTCTAAAATCATGTCACCATAAAAACCAGGTTTGTGCCTGTGATACTAGCGTACAAATGCAGTCCCTTAAACAATCTTTGACAAACATACGATTATGTTACAAACGGATATGATCATTTGAGCGTTAATCGAAAAACAAGCGTTTATGCACAACACTGGCCACAGTAAGCTAACGGCATATTGAAGACAAACAGTGGGGGGAAAACAGTATGAGAAGTCTTTCACAGAGACATTCGCTAACTCACAGATGTGTAAATCAAGGTCAGCTAGAATTATAATGCGTCACATTGAATGTCAAGGTTATCACAGACTCAGCGCTGTGTTCCTTGCCCTCTTGAGCAGCAGATAAGATGAGACAGAGAGGAGACACTTCGCTAACGTGACAGCTAATTAGCGCCATGAAGCCGGAAGCTAGTTATTTAGAAACTCCTCCTGACCACAAACAGACTTAACACCCCGCATAGAGGTGCCGAGTCCGAACGGCTGACAGCATTAAGACTGATTTGTCGAGGGGGCTTAGATGCACACACACACAAAACCATACACACACAGAGAAGAACAAATTCATACAAACCCACAAAGACAGATAACAGAAGCTGTAATTACACAGTCGCTGTTCAGCCGAGGGTGAACAACACGGCACTTGAGAGAGGACGCCTCATTCCAAACACAGATCTAAGGATAGGGTGTTTTACCACCATTACGGCTATAATTACAAGCATAAAGGAGAAGGCTAGATAAGTGCAGATATGACTAGAGGTGGACATTCTCAAACACACACATATAATTATGTAGGTACATAGATTAGGACATTGACGCTTACGAGACGAAGGTCGACGACAATTATGCGTTGCATTGATCCTCAAGGTTATCACAATTTTGTGTTTATATGTGTGTGTAAAACCACTTAAGAAATAAGTGTTTTGCGGCAAAAAAGTGATGATTTGCCTCTTGCCCTCTCTGTCCTTTTCTTGAAAGGCTCAAACAGATGTGTGTGTGTGTGTTTGGGAGAGTCTCTCGAGAGGAAGGGCTTTTGTCTATTCCATGGCCAATGTGTGTGTGTGTGTGTGTGTGTGTGTGTGTGTGTGTGTGTGTGTGTGTGTGTGTGTGTGTGTGTGCGTGTGTGTGTGCATGTGTGTGTGTGTGTGTGTGTGTGTGTGTGTGTGTGTGTGTGTGTGTGTGTGTGTGTGTGTGTGTGTGTGTGTGTGTGTGTGTGGGGGGGGGGGGGGGTGGGGGGGTGTGGGTGTGGGTGTGTGTGTGTCAAAAAGAGTGAACAGTAATTGGTAGGCAGGAGAAAACTCACTCCACTTTCTTGGTTGGCTGGTCACTGCATGTTGAATTCAGGTGAGGATTAAGAGCAGCAGAGAGGTGCACTGGAAATGTGAATAAGTGATTTCCCGCCTTCGGAACTTCTCAATGTTTTTCTATTCTCAATGAATGACAGCAGCACTGTGGTGCAATTCATTTATAGGTCATGTTTTGGAATATTTTTTAACATTTGAATTGCATCACTAATGTGTAAATAACGATACAGGTTGCCAATCGAAGGTTGTTTATGAGCATGGGTGTACACTTGGAATGCTTTTGCGTGGGCTTGAGCTGTGGTGGTAATTTATCAGCTCATAAATCTACCAATTAGAATGAGAGAGGTGTCACTTGTCCTACCGAAGCAGTTGCAACAGAGTAAACAAGAGGCTCAGGAAGCTGTCAATCATGAGCCTGCCAGTAGGAACCAGGAGGTCGTTCCTCAGGTCATTTTAATTATATTATAATTTTTAGGTCTCCATGGTTAAAGTGTGGTCGTCCACCAATTGGAAGGTATGTGGCTCTATCCCCAGCCCTGCAGTTTACATGTCATAGTATCCTTGGGCAAGGTGAACCAAAAAGACTGCCGATGGTATAGCCAAGGGTTTGTGAATGTTAGTTTCCCCCACTCTGTATGAGTGTCTGTGAATGGTTGAATGCTGACGTATATTTAAAAGCACTGAGTGGTAGCAAAGACGGGAAAAGGTCTAACCCTAACCCAACGAGTGCAGTCCATTTACTATTCTTCAAGTGGGATGGACCTGTGGTCAACTATGAGCAATTGGACTGAGCCAAAATATGAAAAACTTGAATTTCTCCAAACCTATATTAGTAACATATTTTTAACCTGTTTTCTAAAAATACTTTTTGTATAGCTAAAACATCCTGCTTTCTCCTTTTATTTTATTTTCCCCACATATACCACCATACACTTTGTTAACACCTAGAGCTCTCTAGTGGGTGTTTGCCCTATTTTCTAGGTTAATAATTCAGTCTAGATTTTTCTAATAACACAATGGCTGCATTCTAGTCAACTTAACCAGCAATGACAGTGAGCCACATGCACAATACTAGCAGTCTGAAACCCAAGCAGCCAAATGAAATTGAGTCATCATTAATTGTATAATCCTCAACAAAAAAAGATGTCACTGTGACATGTAAAAATGTTCTCCATAAGAAAGGGCCATTGTACTAGTTTTGACATACGTGTTTGAAAGCAGGCTTTTCAAACCGCTGTAAAGAAAGAAAGTGAAGACAGCACTAACTGTCTGTGTTGTGTGTGTTCCATCAAGCTGCTAACCAAAATCTCTTTAATATTTCAAGGCGTCTGTGCCTGCCTCTTCTCCTCTGTTTTTATTTTTTCTGGACCGGTTTTCACCTTGTCTCTCCCTGCTGTCCTCCTCAGGTGTTTTGTGGAACCTGTCGTCATGTGACGGCCTGAAGATGCCCATCATCCAGGACGCCCTGGCCGTGCTGACCAACGCTGTGATCATCCCCCATTCGGGCTGGGACACCTCCCCCCACACCCAGGAGGACCGCAAGCTGCTCCTCCACTCCTCCCAGGTCCTCCGCAACGCCACCGGCTGCCTGCGGTCAGTGTCACCAGTAACTCTTTCTCCAATGTCTTTATTTAAAAGCCCACTTTAGGAAGACAGAGATAGTTTATTTGTAACTTTTCTTGGTTCTATTATATGGCCAAGACATTTAAGTTGCGATGTGTAATGCCTTGCCTCGTACTCCAAACAAACATATTTGTTAAACTTATTGCGACAATGATACCTTTAAAATTGAGTTGCTTTCAATCTAAAAGACCCCCATCACCCCAGCCACAAACTGTTCTGTCTGCTGCCGTCTGGCAGGCGTTACCGCAGCATCCGGACTAAAACCATTAGACTCAGAGACAGTTTCATCCCACAGGCAATAAGACTGCTAAACACCTGAACTGTTGAAGCAAAATCTGAAACAACATCCCTAATATTCATCTGGCTGCTACTTAAAAAATATTTTTAAATTATTTATCTATTTACCTATATATCCTATTTCAATAACTTGCATATAGACTCTTATTGCACTATTTCACTATTTAACTTTTTTAAAACTATTTTTCTTTTTTTATTACTATTTACTATTTACTTGCACTATATTTTTTCTGTTTATCTGTGTTTTGTGTTGCTCTGTTGGAGGAGCCTGTGACACAAGATTTTCATCGGCATAACTACACTGTAGCTATGTTCGTATGACAAAATAAAGAACCTTGAACCTTGATCTTGCCTCATCTCATACAGTAAAAACGTGTGAGAATGTGTCGAACAAATTGTTGCTTTTTTATTAGTTGGTCTACAATCTAAACTTACGTCTTAAACAAAAACGAAAGTCAACTACTTAGAAACAGTAGGACAAGATTACGCACAATATGACCAAATTGCTGAAACTCAGGTAAAAGAAAAAATGCTATTCTATAATCTTCATGTTTTTGGCTAGGTCTTTACTCTTTAAGGCCATAGTGTTAGTAATATATCAGATCCATCAAAAATAATCAATGCAATATGGAATGATTTTTGGTGTGATTTGGATTGTAATTAGTTGCTCTATAAATAAAATGTGCTAATAAAGTTAAGCATCAAAACTCACCTCCTTCCTCACCAAAAGCTGTAGGCCACAGCAATGTCTGCTCTTGTTATTTTTATATCACCTCTTTTCTTTTCCGTTGAACGTGGTTTCTTGCCAGAGGCGGGTGTTTGGGATTGTGATAAAGGTCGCCCGCCAAGCCACCTTTGTGTTTACTGCACCTTGATTTATCTATTTGTTGTCGGAACATAATCACTCTCTTTGCTAAGATGCTTTATTGTTTACAAGCTGCTATTATCAACCCCATTCAAACAGTGAAATAAGTCTATTTTTAGTTAGGATTCTGTGATGTTTTTACAATACACCGAGAACTGACAGACTTAGCTGTACATATGACTCAGATCTTGGCTTCAGAGCTAGTGTGGCTTTGGGTTTTCTCTTGAGACATGATGCTAGTCATACAGTGCAGAGTGGAAGTAGTAAGACTATGACACATATTTGTTGTTGTTGTTATGACGCCCCACTCCAGCACGTTGGATATTTAAAAAGCAAAACGGTGACTATATAATGGAGTGTGTGTTTTAAATGTTATTTAGGGAAGTTGTTATCTTCCATACTTTACTTTTTTCAGACTTTTTTCAGACAAACATATTTTACAATCAAACAAATAAGTGTATTTTATTTAAGCAGCATTGCTCTGCCATTTTTGCCAACGGGCTGTGTGTGTGTGTGTGTGTGTGTGTGTGTGTGTGTGTGTGTGTGTGTGTGTGTGTGTGTGTGTGTGTGTGCGTGTGTGTGCGTGTGTGTGTGTGTGTTGGCTTCCTGTGTGGTCGATCAATCGCATCCATAATGTCTCTAATTAACTGCAAACAGTGAAAATAAACTACACATTTCGGCGCTCTGGTCTCCTCTAATACTGTATGTGTGTGAAAAGGCACACATGTGGTTACTGTGTGTATTTTCAGCCTGGTTGTGTGTGTGTGTGTGTGTGTGTGTGTGTGTGTGTGTGTGTGTGTGTGTGTGCATGCGTGTGTGTGTGTGTGTGTGTGTGTGTGTGTGTGTGTGTGTGTGTGTGTGTGTGTGTGTGTGTGTGGATCAGCTCTCTCAACTCGAAGGGCTAATTCATCTTTCTCACGCCTCGTTAAGGAATGCTGGGAGTCTGATTAAAGATTGAATATTTCATGGCGGGTTTGGTATATCGCCGGCCACCTGCTCTCTGTCTCTCTTTCTGTATTTCCCATTATCCTCCTGGCCTTCTCATTCCCACTCCCTTGCTCCGTCACCATCTCATTTTATTACTCCATTTCTTCTCTCTCCATCATATTATCCCTCATTTTTTCCCTTTTCTTCTTCTGTCTCGCCGAGTCTCTGCCCTGCTGTCTCTCACTTTCACACACACATTTTTTCTCTGCTTACTCACGGCTGGTTGCACTGCCCGTGTGTGCATATGCTGTTGTGCCAACCAACAGGAAGTGCTGAAACTTGTACTGCCAGAACGCTGAATAAGAATAATTTGCAGATGTAGCACACAAACGACAGCAACTAATAAAGGTTTATTACTAACTGTACTTACAAACTAATTAAAAAACATTACAAATATGTAAATGGCTCCAAAACGCATTTGTCATCTTTACTCCATTAAGCTACACCAGTATGCAATCTACCGACAAAGATATAACCTGTTTTAGTGAAAGCTAAAATTACATCCAATTCAAGCATTTATTTTTTCCCCATCTCACTAAAATCCCTAAGAGTGTGCAGTGTCAACTCTTTCTGTCACATAATAAGGCAACAGGTGCGTTATTATGTGACAGGGGATTTTAATTTATCAGATCTTTCCTCAGTACGTTTTGAATGATCTGCGTGGGTGAGAGAGCGCAGTGAACACAGCTTCAGATCCAGTCACTTAGTTTAGCCTAATTAAATAAAAGATATGTTTGAAAATTGCATAACAAGGAATTTCATTCAGATGTATTCTTTATTATTCTTTATTCTGCTTGATTTGGAGGTCTTCTTCTTGTTTATTACTTACATGTTGTATGAACTCCACTATTAGGTTAGGTTGTTGGCTGTCTGTCAACAGGATTAGGGAAAAATCGGCCGGGTTTTCTATAAAACTTCGTAGAAAGTTGTACGCTGGGCCAAGGAAGAACCCATTACAATGTGGATCTGAATCACAGTGCAGATACACATATTTTCCTTAACATTGCGATATTGTGCTGCACTCATGTGATGTCGGAATAATCAGAAAAAGTGTTCTCAGCTGGGAACCACCTATCAACGTAAAATAAAAACACATCTTATTTGAGGTGTCCAAAATAAGGCACCGCAGTTGCTTCTGGTTCAGAGGATGATGGGAATAGACCGAATAGACTCAAGCCGAGTTTTCATTGGTCGCTCTTGTTAAGAGAAGACAAAGAAATGATGGATACACGGATCGTGTTAAAATCAATAGGCCCGCAATGACTCTAAATAATAATGATCACGGCACCAAACGCATATAAAACTAAAGTAACGAGCCTGTTTTGAAAATGTAAGAAGTAGAAAGTACAGGTATTTGTGTTAAAAATGTAAGAAGTACAAGTAAAAAGTCGCCAGAAAAATAAGTAGTGGAGTAAAGTACTGATACCAGAAAAAATGTACTTATGTCTAGTTACGAAGTATTTGTACTCCACTACTTCCCACCTCTGTAGATAGATAGTTAATAGATAGATAGATTTATACTGTAGTGATCACTGATGCATACACTGGGGTTACATAATCCAATCATGGAACTACAGGTTGGGGGTATTGTTTCCGCCCGGACACATATGTTGACGGTACCTCCGGGGTACCTACTGTGTGTCCTCCTCTTTCACTTTCTCTTCTCCTCTTTCCTGCAACCCGACAGCACGTCGATTTCTGCTCTCCAATAAAGAGAGATTTGCAACTCTGATACACCGCCTCCGTCTCCCTTCTCTCGGCACTACAGTGGTGACCCCGACGTAAGTCTCGCGAAGGATCCGGGACTGGACCGAACACGGCAAAAAGCAGACTCTGCTTTTCTCGAAATGCCGGAGATTTTTGGGGACCTCCGTTGCTGCCACGTGCGCACGGACTGAGGCTCGGTGCGCCCCACGGAATGGACGCGGACGACGCTCGCCATTTTCACGGCTTTTCGGCTCTGGGGGACGGCAAGCCTTCCATGGGGCCGGTACGCGACCGTGCCGGGTTGGTTCGGGACGTGCGGCTGCATGTCCGGCCAGCGACTGACGGCCGCCGAGAACGGCTAGCGACGACTGCTAGCATCAGCTAACGCCTTGCAGCTACCGGCGGTTATCGACAACCGACTGTTTTTTTTAATTTATTTTTAATTTTTTTGTGGTGCCGGAGAGGGGGTTCGATCATGTCTGGTCGGCCTCGCGTGGATCCTCTCGCTATTTCGCCCACCTGTTTTTGTTCGTGGACAGGACGACCTTTTGAGCTTTTTCTGGTGCCGGAGAGGAGGTTCGACCATGGCTGGTCGGCCTCGTGTGGACCCTCTCGCTGTTTCACCACCTCGACGGCGGCTTCGGACGTCACACAGTGGCGCGCTTCTGGACCCCGTCTCGCCTCTTCCCTCGCCTCGGCGGTTCCGGACGTCGCCCATGCCTTCATCGGCCCGTGGGTGGCGCGCTTCGGGACCCTGCCTGGCCTCACCTCTGACCGCGGCTCACGGTTCGCCTCGACGGCGCCCCGTCTGGCCTCTCCCCTGTCCACGGCTCCTTCCTCCCGAGGACTTCGTGCCCGCCGCCGCTGTGCCTTCGCCTGCGGCCGGGCAGCGCTCCTCCCGGCTGGGGACCACCGGGTTTTTCACGCCCGTCCCCTGGTCTCGACACAGCGACCCTGCTTTCTGCGGCCCCCTGACGACGGCCCGTTCCGGCCCGCCCTCCGGTGGGGTTGCCCTCGCCTTCGTTGGGGCCCCTACCCTCTCCTGCGGCCCCCTTCCGACGGCCCGTTCCGTGGCCCGCCCTCCTCGGCCCCTGTGGTGCTTCCTCCCGACGCGAGGATTGTGTCCATGGTTGAATTCTGGGGGGGCTTGTGTAGTGATCACTGATGCATACACTGGGGTTACATAATCCAATCATGGAACTACAGGTTGGGGGTATTGTTTCCGCCCGGACACATATGTTGACGGTACCTCCGGGGTACCTACTGTGTGTCCTCCTCTTTCACTTTCTCTTCTCCTCTTTCCTGCAACCCGACAGCACGTCGATTTCTGCTCTCCAATAAAGAGAGATTTGCAACTCTGATACACCGCCTCCGTCTCCCTTCTCTCGGCACTACAATACTATATTTATCCCAAATTGGGAAATTAGTTTGTTCCAGCAACAGTGTCAAACATAACAGTTACATGAGTTAAAACATTTTAAAAGATACAATAAGATATAAATATAATAAATAAAAAAATGTACATTGGCGGCAAGTATATATAGTAAGAATACACATTTAAAATAAAACTTGACACTAGGAGCAAGTTTACACAAATTCACAATAGATAAGACATTGGATTAAATACACATAATTGTGCAGATAGCCGTTGTGCAAATTGGGTTAAGGAGAAGGAAAAGGACCTCCGCTGTCTGTCCAGCTGCTGGTGGAGAGGGTGGGCGGAGTTATCCATGATTGTCAACAGTTTGTTCAGACTCCTCCTCTCCACCACAGCTTCAAAAGTGTCCAGTTTGACGCCGATGACTGAGCCAGCTTTCTTAATGAGTTTATTCAGTCTGCTGGGTTCTACATAACAGCTTAAACCTTAGCGTTTAAAGATAATGGGTACACCAAAATATCATGCAATTGCACCATTAGCCTTTACAGGAATCTATGCTCTCTGAGTACTATTTCCTACTAAATGTTCAAGTTCAAGATGCGCAGATTCAAACGAGATGTAGGCTATGTTTGAAACTTTACTCATGCACATAGCATTTAGAGGAACTAGCGCCCCAAGGCTAAGGTTTCTGCTCTGATATGTTCACAGTGTAGCTAGTTGGCCTTGCCCACTGAAGCGAGGTAAGAGGTTATTGAATGATGAGCAACCCTGGGTCAGCCACGTTTAAAGGTGGAGGGTCCTGATGCATGCATAATCACTGCCATGCCATTCAGAGCTGCCGTAATATAATAAGTGCTTCAGTGAATGACCGAGGGGGAGTATGCTATGGTAACAACTACAATGAATGAGAACTGTTCACATTATTATCCTTGACATTATGCACTTGAATAACCAAACGGGGCCAAAAGTAGTTTTTCTCAATGGTTCAACGTAATATGAATTAATTTATGAAACATTATTTGTTCATGAACGTGACGTATATGAACGTGTGACACTTTCTCCTTGTTGTCCATTATAAACTAAAAGTTTTGAAGGTTTTTGGAGATGCCGTGACACTAAACAATCTAATTTTGTACCAACAGCGAACATACTAAAATGTATGTTTCTCTCAACTTTCGCAACTCTTATTACCAAAAACATTCATAAAGTTGATATGACTTATATGATAGCTAGCAGTTGCCTACTTATTTTCAACACATTATGACAGACATGGAGCAACATTAGAGTTTATTTGCAGTCGTGTTTATGGCATTAGGTTTGGCTACAGAAACATTCATTTCATTTGTTTTTATTAACGTGACTTTGCATGGCCCAATTAATCTGGTTTAATTGAGTGGTAGTACAATTTAACCTTGTTAACATGGCCTAAAATAATGTACAATGTATAACAAAATAGCTGTATAATAATGCACCCTGTGTCTTCATACCATAGATGTTTTGGGGCTAAAATAGTGTGGGTTGTTTGTTTTTAAGGACCTGTGAAAACTAGTGCGGCTAATGGAGTTTTAAAAGTTGGTGCCATTTCTCACTGACACTGAGGGCACAAACATCTCCTAGCCAACTTTAATAGTCTGACATTTAAAGGGCATTACACTCGTATAGAATCTTTCTCTTTCATCTCACTCTAACAGGCATATGTACACAGTAACGCATATACATCACCATGAGAGGTTACACTTGTGTGAAACTACTTGAATATTCAAGTTGTGGGTGTTACTTTGCAGGATATTCTGAAGATTGACTTCAGGTTGACTGTTCATTGATTGTGTGTGCGTGTGCGTGTGCGCGTGTGTGTGTGTGTGTGTGTGTGTGTGTGTGTGTGTGTGTGTTACAGGAATGTGAGTTCTGCAGGTGAGGAGGCCCGGAGAAGGATGAGGGAGTGTGAGGGTCTAACAGACGCTCTGCTTTACGTCATCCAGACCGCTCTAGGGAGCAGTGAGATTGACAGCAAGGTACCCCTCTCTCTCTCACACACATACAACCAACCAACTCCAAAAATGGAGGCATGATATAAAATGATGTTGCTGAAAATGTCTGTGCATGCGTGTGTACACACTGTCCAAGGACTCAAATACAAGTGTGCTTTGTAAACATGTGTTTCTTGCTGATTACTATGTACAGATTGTTAATTATTTACATGAACTAACACAAGTTATATGCAAATGTGTTAAATCTGTCTTTGCAGACCATAGCCATACACTGTATATGCATAATCATTCTAACATGTTTGTCTCCCTGGGTTATTTATGAATATATAAATATATGGGTTGTATGTTAGTGTCCCAAGCTAACAGGCCACAACAGACACACAGTAACACAACTTCTTTCTGCACTGGCAAATATGAATATGTGGATTAATACATATCCCAAAGACTTACATCAACAACCTATTGGTAATCAATTAATGATATGTTGAAACAACAAGCCACAATTATCCAATGTTTCATCTTTTTTTCTACAAAAATATATTATTTAAGCACATAAGCCTATAGACAAATATCCAGTATAGAGTACCCACGCTTGGAGGGTTTCAGATTTGTTTCAGTGCACCATATATTACCCAACCCAGATGGGCAGTGACACAGAAACATCCCACCCTGAGTGTGTGTGTTTGTGTGTTTGTGTGTGTGGCTTTTCATGTGAGGCTTTGAGCAACCATGTGTATCTGTATGTATGTATGTTCCTGCATATGTGCCACATACTGTACAGCAATGTGTGTGTGTGTGTGTGTGTGTGTGTGTGTGTGTGTGTGTGTGTGTGTGTGTGTGTGTGTTGGCTCACGAGGAGATATGGAGTTTTGAATCCTTAGAAATCCTTCACAAGATCAAAGTCTGTGACTATTGGCTGCATACGCCACTCACATCAATGGGATTAGTGTGTGTGTGTGTGTGTGTCTGTCTACATTATGCACACAGCATGTGTCTGTGTTTGCATGTCTTTATGTTACACAGCTAGCACTGCACATTATGGTCATATGAGAGTGTGTGTGCCTGCGTAAATATGACTCTACAGTTTTGTCCTGATTGCCATCTGTCCTCCTTCATGTTGTTCTCTCTCCACCCTCCTTCCACCAACAGACCGTGGAGAACTGTGTGTGCATCTTGAGGAACTTGTCGTACCGTCTGGCTGCAGAGACATCCCACAGCCAGCAGGGGGGGTCGGAGGAGCTCGACGGGCTGCTGTGTGACACTGGCGGGAAGGACGCAGAGAGCTCTGGATGCTGGGGCAAGAAAAAGAAGAAGAAGAAGGGACATGACCAGGTGGGGAAATGGAAATTCTAAGTATTTTCTTACTGGAAAACTGCCTATTAGCTTTTCTTCATATCCTTTAGAATGGTGGGCCGCTTCAGGTTGGGTTTTTGGGGGAGCAGGGTGCAAATCCATGCAGTTATATGATAGATTATGGTGGTGAATAATATTAATATGGTGGATTCATCGTGTTTTAATGCCTATCAAAAGTCTAATAATTCCTATAATGAGTATCCAGGCACGCTAATGGACTGTGTCTGGACACACACACACACACACACACACACACACACACACAAACACTCAATTTATATTGAACACTTCAGTCAATCTCGAGCAAAAAACCAACAATTCTGTCATTTTAATCTAATTCTATTCACATAAGATTATCATTATTTGATGAAAAATACAGGTTAAATGAATGTGAGTATGAGTAAGGGGACAATAATATAGATAGATTATTATTATTAGAAATGTTTTATAAGTACATATAAGTCTTATCTTTTGCCTTTAGTGATCACAGTTAGTGTTTAATGAAGTCTCTTCATTCTCTCATTATTTACACCAATGACTCGAAAACTCCTAACTGGAGTGAAATTAACTATGCTTTGGTGCCTAAATAAACGTGGTATAAAGTTATTGCCTGTCTTACGGGATGCAACAGTATGTCTTTTTGTAGTTCTTGGCTCTCTAGTATCCTGCTGCTTGCTTATATTTTCCCTCGTACATGACACTAATACATTCCCTTATAGAATTGTAATGCCCACATAAAAATCTACATTTACATACAGAGTACATAATGCATGAGGAATTTTCTCTTGTTTATTTAAAGCCGTGACTTAATTGCTTGGTTACTCGCTGTCAGATCAACACCGGGATAATTAAAGTTAAACAAAAAGGCAAAATAACAGCTGTACAGAGAGAGGTTGTCATCTTTTGTGTTTTTTCTAAGACAATAACCCTACCATTATATGTTTCAGTATTCAGTATCTCCTTTTGTAATGCAGCTCGTTGCTGTTTCTGGTTCAGTAACATTTGCTCAGTTCACCCTTAGTTCACTTCACACGATGAATATTTATGAATGCACCACAGATTTCTTTGATATTCATGATGTTTGAGTTTGTTTTTCCACGTGATCTTCACCTACCACCTGAATTATTTAGGGTCACGTATCTAATATAACGTGATTCATAGCAACAGAAGAGTTTGATGATGTGATACTAATATGCATCTTATAGTCTTTGTACTTGTTGTGTTGTCCTATGTTGAGGTGGAATATAATCGCCATCTTGAGTATTTTCCCTAATTACTTTAAAGATTCAGATTTGTAATCCAACATATAAATCCACTTATAAATGACGTTTTATTAAGTATACTTATTTTAGTTTTTTTAGTTGTAAAATATAGCTCCACCTTTGCCAACTTAAACATTAAATTAATGAACACATTATTAGGAAATAAAAAGTATTATCCAGTAATACCCGACATTTTATTGTGAATCGGGCCATTCTGCATAATGAGTACTTTAAGTATGTTTCATAAACTTATAAATCATACTTTTACTTAAGATTCATTTTTCATGCTGGACTTTAATTTGTAAGAGTATTTTTACACTTTAGTGTAGAAGGTTTCCACCCCCTGCTTCTATGCAATATAACCCTAACCCTAACCCTAACCCATCAACACATGCTATACGGTTTTCAAACATTGGGAAAATAGCTATTTTAGCTTTCCATGCATTGACTACCAATTTTTCAGACAAAAAAATATATTTATTTTACTATTTCGCTCTGGATTTCCTTGGTCTGTCCATCTGCTGCCAACAGGAAGAGTTTCTTTCTCCGGTTAGATACAAAATGATTGCTCTTTTTAGATGTGTAGTTGGCAGAAACCAAACGGCTGCCTTGGAGCAGGCTCGAACCCTCTTGTCATGCTAATTAGCAATCAGCGTCACATTCTGGTTGAGTGGAAGACGTAAGATTTCTACTGAAGCTGCTGGGATTGAAAACCCAACACTTCCGGTGGTACAGGGTGGGTAAATTGCTCATTAGCCCTGCATGTTTTTCCCCTCTCTTTCCTTTTTTAGAAAATACAGAAAAAGGGCATTTTTAATTTACTTAATATGTTAGACCTTTAACTACCATTTGCCAAGTAAACCCTTAACACAGTTGTTCACATCAAGGCAGAACCAGGGAGATCTTACAACTAACCAGGGATCAGATTGTAAAGGGACACATCAAAACCTCCCCCCCCATCCATTCCCTCTATCTGTCTCCACTCCAGTGCAGCTGTGGGTGATTACCATGAAGTAGCGATCGGGGAGCTTGTTGGAGAGGGCGAAACTCTATCAACTGTAGAGTAATTACAGGAGAGATGAGGAGATGAGGGGTGAGGAGAGGAGGAAAGGATACGTCGGTAGGAAGGGGAGATATAGAGAGGAGAGAGTGAAGGAAGCTAGAGTTAACAGGGGGTCTAGAAGATACAAAAGGATGAGAGAGGAGAGAGGGGGGAAGAGGAAGTAGTGGAATAATAAGGTCAAAGACAAAAAGGGAAGTGAAGGCAGACAGCAGTGCAGTCTGTTGGCAGCGAGCCTTATCAGATGTCGTGTGAGATTACGTCATTGCAGATGGAAGGAGGAAGATTTTGTTTTCTACAAAAAAAATGTGAGGATTGATGATATAAAATGACAGTAGGAAGCCTACAGAACATCCTAATATTTACTTTGATACATCTACAAATCAGATTCACACAAAGAAGGAACAACAACAGAATATAAGCCTTGGTGGAACTACTTTACTCAAGTAGAAGTTTAGATGACTTGTGCTTTACTTAAGTATTTGCATTTTCTGCTATACTTCTATTAAACAAATCTGTGAAAGATATTGTTCCTTTTTTTCTCCAATATATTTTGTTATCACAGCTTTTTTTGCCCTCCTTGTCGAGTTAAAACTGTGCATCTCCAGATGTGTTGGTTTTGAAGGTTTCTGTTAAACTGAAGCATTAAGGGTTCCTCTTTGTTTTGAGAGAAACATGTCTACTGTGTACATGCTTTAATGTTCAAAAAGCTCTTTATTTTTCTCATACCACCTCTTTTCACCCTCTGTCTGAAACCAGAGACCAGTCGGCTCTGATTGGTTAGCTGGCCGGCTCTGTTGTGATTGGTCAACAGCTTAGACACCCTGCTTAGCCCGTTATCATGTACAATGTGTTGGAGTGCTAGCCAACAGTATTGCGAGTGTTACATAGTGATGTCACCTGAGTCCAATCGTAGCATTTCGGGCGGGAGGGGGCTGGGATTTTAGCCTTTGCAGACCATTTACATGCACAGAAACCGGCATAACACACTACAGGAAAGGTAAAACCCCAAAAAGCAACAGTAACATAATTTCCAAAACATCTTATATATTTGTACAACACTGACACAGACCATTTATCTGCACCATGAGGACTTTAAGTGCATTATGCTGATAATGCTCACACACTTTTACCTGTTTTAGTAAGGTTTTGAAAGAATAGCTAGTGCTGACCTTTTTAATTTCAGAAAATAAGTGGGGCAGCGAATAATGGTTATTTTTGGTAACAATTTATTTGAATGGTCTGCTTTCAACATTTTGTCACTTATTTATATCTTATTAGTTCACATTCAATTCAGCTAAATTATTCTTTTAACAGGTAAGTATGTTCATAAATTGTCACGTAAACTATTATATACCTATTCAAAATAAAGTGTCACCTTAGTTTTTGCTGCAAATTATTTTGTCCTTGCACCTCTCATTAACACATGTCAGGCACAGTTTTTTTTTTTATGTACAGCATTTGAGTGCATGCATTTAAAAAAAGCAGAGGACATTTCAGATTTCAATAAGGGAGAAGACAGAAAAACGAAATGCCATTAGATGAAAGCTACGCGATTCCTATCATTGTTTATAATGAGCAAATCTTCCCTCTCTCGTTCTCATCCCCTCTTCTTGCCATGGGGTCCATGCTGGCATTGTCAAACTCTGCGCCTCACAGAGAATTAAAAATTATTTTTCTATTTTCTATTCTGAATACTGTCTCATCTTCCGTAGTGGGATGGCGTCGGCCCATTTCCAGACTTGGCGGAGCCCCCGAAAGGCATCCAGATGTTATGGCACCCCACCATCGTGAAGCCCTACCTCACGCTGCTGTCTGAGTGCTCAAACCCAGACACCCTGGAGGGAGCAGCTGGGGCTCTGCAGAACCTGGCTGCTGGCAGCTGGAAGGTAGGGACTGTGCCTACACCACTGTGATACTAAAGGGCATCTGCAGAAGTCTAGGGAAATGCCATTGGGTGCCAAAGTGTTCTGAACAATTTGAAATCTCTTCAACAGCCCCCATATTCTGGCCGTTTTGTGCTTTGAGATAGCACACCTTTATGAGTAAACATTTGGTACATCACCCTCTGTAATCAACAAATGTATGACCTTAAAAAGTAATATCCAGATAATGACATAAATTACAGGGGAGTGTTTGATTACTACTAGATTTCAAATGTTGTTTTCTTACCTCATTGATTGTTAAATTACAATCAGTATCTTAACAGACAACCCTTTGGCTCATCAAGCTTTGGGCAGATTCTAACAGTAATCCTGCACTTGAAGAATGCATTTTCTTATATAGAAAATGCTAGTGGATACAGTACCACCAGTTTTACATAAAGGGTATCACCTTTGGTGTTCCAGAGTAAAAAGTAAATCCTCTCCAAAACCACTGAACTGAATTTTCTAAAGAAGGCAACGAGTAGTCTGGAAGTCCCAAGTAAGTGAACATTACGTTGAGGATTTGTCAGCCAATCATATGGTTTTATCCCTTAAAGGGATAGATCTAATATTTCGTAGGAGTAGATTGCAGTCTGTCACATATGTTAGCCACCTAAACAATATCAGTTTAAGTGTCTGTATATTTAGCTTATTTCTACCACAGCACCTTGCTGTCAGACATCACTTTCCAACAGGTAACTCAAGCCGTTATCTGTGCTCTCCTAAAACCAGGCTCCATTGACAGTTTAACCTTTTGGTAAACACAAGTTGCTGCCCAAATGTGTTAGTTTGTTTTGGTTATTGCCAGATTACTGTCTATTTCTTCAAACTGAGGACATACCCAACCCACATCTACTGTAGGGTATGGAAAGGTACCTAACAAAAAACATATAAAAACATCAACACCGTTCATTCAAGAGAACAAATCCAAGTACACTAGAAATAAGCAAAAAGGGAAGACAAAAGGAAAAATATCAAACCTCTCTTCATCCACCTCCAACCCTCTCTTCTCTCTCTCCTACCCAGTGGTCTGTGTATATCCGGGCTGCGGTGCGTAAGGAGAAGGGCCTCCCTATCCTGGTGGAGTTACTGAGGATAGACAACGACCGGGTGGTGTGTGCCGTGGCCACCGCGCTGAGAAACATGGCTCTGGACGTCAGGAACAAGGAGCTCATCGGTGAGTGGCCCATTCACAGCATAGACAGAATGAAGGGAAAACACAGAGTCTGGAATAATGTGACATTATTGTCTGTTATTGGGTGAATGCAACATTTCCAAAGCAAGCCATCTTTATTCAGGAGTTGAGTGAATTGAAGATAATGGCACTGAAAACAAGTGCAGTTATCTTGACCCACTTGCAGAACTATTCACTCGCTTAAATAATGCATATGATAATCGTTTATGTAAGTAGACGTGTTTAGTGTCTTTTTTATTTTAAGCTGCTGTTAAATGTCAATTGTGTAGAGGGTTATTGCTGTTAGGAATGGTCTTATATTTAAAATTGAAGACACAAATTGTATAGTATTTCTCTAAATGTATCCCCATACCTCTATTCAAGACTGTGGTAGTTTTCTTTTGACTGATTGTTTGAAGCTTAATTTTCCTTTTGAAACCAAGTGATGTCTGTAATGAACACTGTCTTCCTGCTGGTCCCCATAGCAACAACCGCATGCCTCCCTCCTCTTGCTCTGTCTGATGCTTGAAGCTCTGAGCTGAGGTTGTCTGTGTGTGTGGTCTAGTTTGTGACTGCAGCCATTCATGTGTACTGTGTATGAAGGTTGTAATGGCAATTTTATATCGCAGTGACACAGGGCAAGCATGTATATTTTGATGGGAAACATTTTCCTGCTCTCACTCATTGTGTTGACATGATGAAATTACCCAGCGACGCGACATATTGTGTAGTTGCATCCTCAGAGCTTTCAGTAGTTTATCAATAGGGCCACCACAAATACGTCCGCTGTGAGCAAACAGTTGATTTATTACTGCAATGTCACAAATAAGATATAGCACCATAACCCAGTTTATATGAATTTCTTATTATTGGAAGTGAATTGGGGTTTTTTTAATCGCTAAAATGGTGTGCTTATGACGAATGGTCTTGTTTTAGCTTCATAGAATACTGCAGAGGTTCTTAATTGTTTTTCAGCAAAGGACCCCGAACAAGATAGAGAACATACCGGGACCACCTTATCACTTGGAAAAGTTTACATTGCCTTGCATTCTTAATTAATATGCTTTAGTCCCAGCGCTAATTTGTAGTGTATTTCAGAATATAACCAAACTCATGGTCTAATATTATAATGTGTCTCTATTTAAGCTTAAAAAAAGTTGAAATAGTATCTGAGAAATTAGAAAAAAATGTAAAAAATAATCTGATTTTATATCATGAATTTGAAATAATGAACCCCCTTGCAGAGTGCTACAGACCACACTTTAAAATGCACTGGTGTACTGTGTTCAGAGACATGTCCTGTCTTTGGTTCAGAAATGTCCCTGTTGCATTGCAAACTATATACTCTTGTCTTGCAACCTGTGTTACAAAATGTTCTACTGAGTGCAACCAAGACCATATTTCTCATCAGCAGGGCGCATATGCAACAGCTAAAAAAGTATGTAGTATAAGTTGCAAATGTATATTCTGCACATGATCATAATTGATATGAGTTTGTGTTTTATAGGCCTACACATTAAAATAATGCAGTATATATTCTACTGACGCCAGCAGGATTTTAATACATATACTGTGGATGTGAACTGTCAGTTGGTCATGAGGTGCCCCCACCCCCACCACCAAGGGGGATCACCCAATCAGAGTAAAGGGCAAAGGTCAGAGTGGACAAGATTGGCTGACAGCAGTACTGAGCTGTCATGGGAAATGTAGTCAGTCGGTGTTAGATCACGTGGTCAAGTCGTCGTAATGGTCTGACAGCCCCAAAGCCAGGCGGTATTTTCTTAGTCTTAGCTGGATAAGCTATAGTTTTAAGTAAAAAATGAAAGCAGAGAGCCGACGGGAGTGAGAGTCGTCTAACCTTTATTAGGGGGGGGCAGAGAAATGTCCTTTCACTTTTTCTATTCTTTTTATCTGTTATTTTCTGTAGTAAAATGTATTGCCAAAAACACTACAATATTGGTCAAAGATAGCATAAGAAATGCTCAAAAAAGTGTATTTTCATCCCCATTTCCACCCTGTCGACTCCTCTCCAACTCCAAATCCTTCAACCAAAATGTTTCTACCTCAACCCCACTCACCCTGTCTTACCCACCGTGCCCACAGGTAAATATGCCATGAGGGACCTTGTGCACCGTTTGCCCGGAGGCAGCAACAACAACAACACTAGTGGCAGTGGAGGCGGAGGAAGCAGCAACAGCAGTGTCCTGGCGGGAAAGACCATGTCCGATGACACCATAACCGCTATCTGCTGCGCACTGCACGAGGTTATCACCAAGAACATGGAGAACACCAAGGCCCTGAGGGACGCCGGCGGCATAGAGAAGCTCATTGGCGTCGCCAGGAGCAAAGGAGACAAGTAAGCCGAATGGAAAGATGATGCCAGGTGGAAGGGGGTAAAGAAAGAAAAAAGGATTAGCCTGAAGAAGAACAAGAAATACCATCATGGGGCAGTTTTCTTATAGATTGATAGAAGATGCAACAGCATTAAAAACTGTTTTATTCTGATATTAGAAAGAAAACAAAGGGAATTATGTTCATCTGTCAATCTAGCAAATGAGAATAACTACCTCACCAAAAGCCAAAAAATACATAAATGTAAATACAAAAATGTATATACATACGTAGCCTATGGCAGAAGGGGAACGTAGAAAATGTAATCAGTCCACTGGGCAAATCAGTGGAATAGAAAAGGTTTGTAAGGTAACGTGGCAGTGGTAGAAAGAGAGATCATGCAGCAAAGAAAGAAAGGTGAGGTAGGAGGAGGTTGTCAGTAAAGTTAGAGAGGCTGTGTACTTGTTTTAGAGCTATGAGTCAGCAAAACGCAGAAAATAAGGTCTAAAAGAAAGATGGCTAGTATCTGTCTGTTTACCTTCATACCCATACACAACCCAAATACAGGCTAATTTAAAGGTAACTTAATTCCACTAGTCAACTACCAAGAAGTCAGCTACTAAGATCTAGCCTTCTAAGCTAGTTAGCTTTAGCAGCAGTTTAGCTGGGTTCTTCTCTCTGGCATTGTAGGATTTAGTTACCGCCTCATTTTGGATATTTACTGTGATACTTTTCATTTACAGATAACAGCTATTAAAAAATATGTTTGGTATAGCTTTAACTAAAGCCATATCTTGCTTTCTCACCAGCTATCTTTCATTTGATAGCTTCTTTGCTATTTGCTAGCTGTCAAGTTAGCTGCATTTTGTAGTTACTGCACATTTTAAAATCTGCTTTGACAGAAATTGACAAACATTTCTATCTACTAAAACATGTACATGTTTTAAATTGGTCTAGGACCGAACTTTGGCTAAATATGACGTGTGTTGCCGTTGTGCAGTATAGCAGACGGCACATTTGTTTGCGCTCTGTGAATAATCATAGGATAAAACCAATTTATGTTAATATTCGAAGAACCAAACCTGAAAATAAAAGAATAACATTCCCCAAAATGACTGGAAGAAATACATTCAATTTGTTAGGCTCTGATAAGGCCATATGAGCCAATTAAACCCACAGCCATTAGTCAACTGAGTGAAACCCTGGAGGACACAAAATGAAATATTGGCCAATCATTCAATCAAGCAATGCAATTTGGCCTGAGTACAATTTAAGTGCCATATTTGAGGACATAAAAAAATGCATTTTCATTGTGCACCTTTATCCATTCTTTGTTATAGCAGTGAGATATGCTTTACTGGTTTAGTGTCCTTGCTTTATGTTTTTATTATTCTGCATTCTAATGTTTGTATAGCTCCTGATTGCACAAAACAAAATGAAAGACAGTCAAGCTTTATACTGTATGTGTTTTTTCCTCTGCTGAATTCCCAAATATAGTCCTAAAGTGGTAAAAGCAGCTTCCCAAGTCCTGAACAGCATGTGGCAATACAGAGACCTCCGCAGCCTCTACAAAAAGGTAAAGTTGAAATGTGTGCTCTGGCTTTATTTACGCCGAAAACGAGTTATGATGATACAATTTTAAGTTGTGAAGATGCATTCTTTTTTTACACGGACTCATATTTTTCGTCTCCTCTTGCAACCTCTCCTTCCATCTTCAGGATGGCTATGCCCAGTACCATTTTGTCGGCTCTTCCTCCACGATAGAGAGAGACAGACAGCGACCTTATTCTTCCTCTCGTACTCCGTCCATCTCTCCTGTACGGACTTCACCAAACAATCGATCAGGTGAGTCCACCCACCCCTCACTCTCTTGTCTTCCCTTTTGTCCTCTATCAATCTTTCCAACAGTCAAGTCAAATAAACTGCTTCAAACTGGCTTAAATCTGCTTTCACCTTCACACTACAACAGGCACTGACCAATTATTCTGCTGTCAAATAAAATCCTTGCACGGTATCTCCTAAAGAAACTTTCTGCCCTTGAGTTGTCAAAACTTAGGTTTGACTAATATGAGCTTTCCAGGCTTCTGCATTTTTGGACTCATGACAACATCTTCTAATGTTAACTAAATCTTATAAAATGGCAACATACAATGTAATCAGTGTTTACCCCATGAGATGTATTCTATGCTTGGTCCTAAAGCTTCTAAAACCGACTTTTGAGACAATAACAATGTCCAGCAAACCAAAATAAACAATCAATTTTTCATGATTGTAAATGTGTGAAATATAATTAAAATATTATACCCCATTTCTCAATGCACCACACTTTGAAAAATCATCAGAACTGGAATTACACTGTCAACTGTTAGTGGCAATTGGATAATACTTAGATTTGGAAGCTTACATTGAAAGAAATGTGTTGTTTCTTAGTTCAGAATTATGCCATTATCACAAACTTGTGATACATTAAGAAATTGACAATGTTTCTCTTGTCTCTCTTGTTTCTAAAATTGTTTTGGGCCCTTTGCACCTGTCGGCCTGCGTACATTAGACTAACATACACAAATACACTTTTTAAATGGTTACATTCATACAACAGTTGCTTACTGCAACAGCATCAAAGGTGATTAGCCATCTAGGTGCCGATATTACAATAGACTGGTGATATTAGCAGAGTATTAATGAGTATATGGATCAATGGTAAATGTGTTTTACAGAAAAGAGACAAAGACACTGATGCATCCACACAAAACAGGCCGGCCGGCTGCACCATAGCCAGCAGCTTCTTTGTGAAAGGCTGTTGATAATGATTTGAGTATAATAGCGAACACTACTGTAACATATGGCACTGAATCATAGCCAGGTTTCCTCCAACATGGCTAACCAGATCGTACTCATTATCTTTCACACTGCACCCCCTGTCCGACATTCATTATCCTCTTTTTTCTTCTGGATTTTTAGGTAAATCATGCCAAGACAGAGATTAATGGGTCAGTGGGATACTTAGATGGTAATATGTACTTGTTGTAAATACTGGTGGAGAAAGAGTGGCCTGCAGCCACACAGACAAAAACAGAGAAGCAAGAGTAAATCAGATTCAAGGAGGGGGATGACTCAATATTTACCTCTTATAAAATCCCACCCCGGTCAAGAAGCCAGACTTGTGAAGACTGCTTTGGTAACCACAGAGTCACAACACAAACCACAACCAGTGCCCCCGTTTATGATTCATATCAGGGTGATGTTTACAGGAAATAATACACAAAGAGTGCTGTGCCTTTGTGGAGGTAAATACAAGAACCTGAGATGCTTTGTAAAGTACAAATCACTCTGGCCTTTCTGCTGTGAAGGGACTCTGGCGTCAAGTGCGTTGATAATGTGTTCATGATGGATTGAAGGTTAAAGATATCCCCCGTGTGTTTGTGTGTGGTGTTTTGTGTAGCGAGCGCCCCTACTTCCCCAAGAGAGATGATGGCATTGAAGGAGAGGAAGGCAGACTACGAGTCGACTGGCAATGCTAGTTACCATGGCAACAAGGGCGAGCACACATCCCGGAAGGACGCCATGATGGGTAAGAACTCCATAATGCATGTCTGACACAAAAAAACTGTAACATGTTAGTGTGACATTTTTTAAGGAACACTTTAACATATTGGTTGTTATTTCTTGCAAAGTGTTGAATGGAAAAATCAATACCACACTCTACTCATACACTGTGTGTACAAATAACAATAACACATTCTACAATGTATCAGTGTAACTCGGAAAGAAATTGAACAAATTAGAAATACGCTGTTGAGACAGTCAGATAGAGCTTACTAAAGGTCAGATTTCACTATCTGAAAAACAACAGCTGAATATGAATTGTGTTTCTCGTTATTCAGAAAACTATAGGGAGTGTTTGTAAGTCTACAAGTGGGATATTTATGATTAATACAATGATTTAATGCTGTTTTTGTCATGGTTTTCAGAGAAGGTTCGGTATTTCATTGTTTCTCAGCCTATCAGCAGTTATGTGGTGGAAATGTAGCTCTTAGTTATTCCTAATCATCATAATTCATTGTCAATTTGCTTCTTATTCTTAATTTAAAAAACGCTCCTGAATCAGTTTCGGAGCAAGCATCCCTCTGAAGTCCTCATCTTCTCTGTCCCTGCAGGTCAAATCCCCGGTGGGTCGTCCACGCTGCACAGAGGAGCATATGTGTCGCCTACCGATGACCTGAAGTATAATCAGGTACTACAACTTTAAATACTAAGAACTATGAATATAAACTATAAATGTCTAAAGAGTCCCATATGGGTTTTATGAATACTATAGAAAATTGCTCTCAAGGTGTTGCATTTGATTCTGAATTGTTGCCAATTGTTGTAAAAGCCTTTTATATTGCCCATCTCCCTCTGGCAGACATATCTGATGCCGGTTTTATCTCTAAATGTATGACTGGGCATTCTCAAAGCATTTTTGATTATCCAATTTGAGATAATAGTTCGGTCCGGGATGTGTCCAATAACAGGTTTGGGTGAAGTTTGGGTCTCAAATCTTTAGCAAGACCAGTAGCTTAAGTAGGGGCAAGTTCAAAAGACGTGGGTACAAGCACCTTTGTCTGGTTTAGCCTTTTGTCTGTCATTAGCTGCCATTAATCATTGGAATTGATTGTGTCATGCTACCTAGCAATAGGTAATGGATACATATCAACCTGTTTTCGGATTTATAAATGTTAATTATTTAGTTGCATTATTTTCAACCACTCAGAATTTTCAGAAAGCATGGTCAGTTTAGAAGTCTTGTCCATATCCTCATGTCATGATGGTTTGGACCAAGCCTTTAGCGTTGGTCAATTGGATCAATTCATCAGCTTTTGGAGATCTTACTTGGCCACCGCCATTTTTTCTTTTGTGTTGAATAATAGTCTGTACCCAAAAAGCGAGTAAAAACTGCGCTCAGGGAGAAAGGGATATTTTCACACCTAACTCTGTGAAATTAGGGTTTATTTTGAAAATTGCCAGTTTAATAAGATTTCTCCCAACCGTAATCTGCATCAGAGCTGTTCTGTAAATGATGATCTTTGCCTTTTTCTTTTGACAGATCTCTTCTCAAGGCCTGCCTTCAGAGCCCTACCCTCCATTCCAAAACCCTCCCCCACCCGATGGTGTCAACTACGAGGACCAGGCCTTCTACGAGAACCAGGTCCTCGCAGGAGGGCGCCCTCCCCAGGGTGACCTCAACATGCACCTGCAGGGCCTCAAGTCCACCGGCAACTATGTAGACTTCTACTCCGCCTCACGGCCCTACAGCGAGCTCAACTATGAGACCAGCCACTATCCGGCCTCACCAGACTCCTGGGTCTAAGGGGAGATGAGGGTGGAGGGTTAGGAGGAGAGGATGGAGGTGAAGTGGGGGGGTTTAAATATAGGAGGAGAAGATGAGAGGACAGTTTCCCTCCATCCCCATCCTCCCCTGTGGTTCCTGAGTAGCATCATAGATAGCAGGACAACGGAAGGGGAGGATGGAGTGCAGGAAAAGTGAAAAACTGAGACAGTCCTTTCAGAGACATCTGAGGGAGGAGGGGAAGGGGACAAAGGAGGACCAGAAGCAAAACGGAGGAGCGGCCATGCATGTGCATGTACACCACCAACAAAACTGACAGACACATTTTCTTTCTGTGTTTAGTTTGCGATCAACTACTGCTAGAAGGTTCAGCAGACAGAAAGACCTCCTGCACCTGAAGGCCTCTGGATACAGAATGTAAGAGGGAGGGATATGAGGGAAGAGAGAGAGAGAAGGAAGAAGTGGATATGTGGAGAAGAAGAAGGACAATGGAAGAAAAAAAATGAATCAGTGGACTCAAGAAATGGACATTTTTGGATTGTGAATGGAACGTGTGAAAGATACCCAGGAGAAAGCTGTATATATGTGGTATAGCGTCATGGCTTTTAGTAATGTGAAGCACAAGAAGCAGAGCTGTAAGACATGTAGGACGTCTGTCACACACACCTTTGTTTCTCTCTATGGCTTCGGCGTGATGTATCCTCCTCTGGGCGAAGAACGCCTCAGGACTTTGTCATTTGTAACAGGTTTTTAATTTTCTTTTGTTGTGTTTCTACTTTTTTAATTCTGGTTGTATAGTATTTGACGTACACTGTACATTTACGGAGATGCATTGTGTACTGTACATTGCACTATTTTCTGTGTCATGTCAGGCCTTTCGCCATTTGGTCAACCTTCACTTCCTCAATAACTCTCCCCCAAAAAACAGAAAGAAAAATACACACACAATATCTGCACTCCCATAATTCATATCACAGCAACAGACAGATGTCAACATGTCAAATATTGGATATGAATGGGTATTAAGGCATCAATTCTGATAGGTCATGGTGCTCTTTTAACTGCCCTATGGATGGATTTCACGTTATTACTGACCTTTAACATTTAAGCAGCTTTTTCTGTGACAATACTCACATTTTTTGAGGCTAGCTTTCGTTTATTGGCGGCTATCTCGTCACATTTTCACCCCCTAAATCCTCGTGTTGTTCCCATGAGCGCCTCCTTTGAGTGAACTGTGCTCATTGTGTATATAACCGTGCCAAACAAGGGTTGCTTCCCCTCATCTGTAGAAGGGGGAAGGTTAGGGGCGTGTTAAAGGGTCCAAGTTCAGCTGAACATCCTTGCGGTTCTAACAATGCCAGTTTGTAAATGCTTTGGTTTTTCTAAACTGTGTTTTACTGGGATGAAACCTGCCTAACTGCACCAGGACTGGAGAGAAAACATAAAAAGAAGAAAAAAAACGACAAAAAAATAAGATCACGGAGGGACTGTGACGGGGGCGGAGCTAGGCTTCCCCCAAAGTTGTACAAAATTAGTTGATTTCTGTGTTGTAAAATAATCAATGTTTGAAGTACAAAAAAAAACTTTTCTGAGAGATGGGTGGCAATTCTAACTTCATGGTAGACAAAACTGTTAATAGAGTACGGATATATATTATATAAATATAAATATATACTTTTTATGTGCAGATGTGAATGTCACTTATAGCAGCAACATTATGGAAAAAAGACTTGTAAAAAGAAAAAAAAACAGCTACATGTAGGAATTTTGTTCACATTTTTTATTTCCTGGTCAACACACTAAATTGTCGACTTTGTGTAGTAATGTTGTTGCTATGTGAAATAGAGTAGACCAGGGCCCAGGGATCCACGTTGTCACTGAAGCAGTCCAAAAAGGTGCTACGTCCAAGTATTTCCAACATGTCTGTATGTGCACAAAATGTATGTTCCCCATTGAGAACCATTGGTTATCGGCCACAAAACAGGAAACAGTCACGAGTTTGATTCTTGTATTTCCCATGCATGAAAACACTAAGTTCTGATTAATTAGTCTAATTATGCTAAATAGCAAAAGTCCACCCATGAGTGCATGAGTATTTGTTGTTGGTAAATCTGAAAACTAAATGGTGATTTTTTTAAAGTGAGAATGGCTAAATTGTTATACGTGACAACAGACCCTGGTTCTCCCTACCCACTGCGTTTTAGAAATCATAGAGGTCATCTTCTGATGCTTGAAAAAGGACTCATAATGCAACAGTCCCCCACAAAAACACTGGATGAACAGATGTATTGTGCTTGTGAGTAAGCATCTGGAAACTGACAATGTTATGTATGTCCTTGTGATCCTTAGGCAGAAGAACCTAACTATAAGACCTGTATGGAGATATAACGTTGGTAACCTTTTTGTTGCTAGACCAAACGTGTTTTAAAAAGAGAATTGTGAATCTTTCTATTGCCTCAAACAGATTGCAACTGCTCCAAAAAATATAAACGGACCATCGAAGAACCTCTGATTCTGGGAGTTGTTTGTTCTGTTGCCAAGAAGAGTCTATATGGTAATGTTGTGTGTGTTTAAAAAAAAAGTATTTCTGGTGCTCTATGTTTCATCATTAACTATGCATAATGTAGGGATGTAAAGTATGCAATATTCCTAAAGCATGGCACAAACTATGAGTTTGAAATTATTTTTGCAGCCTTTGCATTCCTCTTAGTACAATATGCACATTTACTAAGACTTGAAACTTGCTAAACAACTCACCCGTCTCAAGGAAAATGATATTGCTTTAATTTTACAGTCACTTATCTTCAAATGGTGCTGAAGTTCTAGGGAGATACAAATGTTTGGGCCAATAAGAGAAAAAGATTCAAATGGGCCAGAGAGAACAAAACGTGAATCAAGAAATGTGAAATGTGACAGGAGCAAGAAAGTAAAATGTACATTATTTCCAAATTCTTAATTTGAACTAATGTTGCAAGATACATTTCTGCATAAAACTACACAAATTCAAGTTTCCTTGAACTTGTAAATGACTGAATGGAAGAATTGTGCTTCCTGTTGCACTGTCGTTAGCGGAAAAGCCATACCAGTGTGCAACAAGACCAGCAAGTGATGCTTGGCAGGGAAGGAAAACAAAAACATTTTTTTAATTAGATTTTCCAAGGACCAAAGACCAGGACAAATTTGAGAGAAAAGACCAAGATAATAGAAATGCTTTGAGACTTGGCTTCAGTATTACAGCCCTTTAATTTAGGTGGTTTGAACACAATCTTAGTAAATTGCTCTGTATACTCCATTATTATACTTAAGGGAGAATAATTACATTGTATGAACATGGTCTGGAGATTCTAGTGCAGCCTCTCAGACTCAGAAAGCTTTCCAGTACTTCAAAACAGAGGAAACAGAAGATCATAAGTAATTATTTTAATGGCATAAGAGAAAATCCATATATAAAGGGTCATGAGGGCTCTCTAGTGGTCATTCGAGAAACTGCACCACATGTCAGGGTGGCGGCCATTTTAGTCTCTGAGGCCTGTTCTGCATGGCTCTCTGCAGATAGATCACCACACCATAGGCACAGATTTGTATCTTTGAAAGCCAAAAGATAGCGCACATCTTTTTCATTACATATACACTGTTGGAGTGCAGAACAAAGCACGGACGAGGCGTCAAGTCACAGCACCAGAAAAGAGGGAAGGCTGGTGTGCATCTTTTTTTTCCTTATCTAAGGTAAATTACTTTTTCTTGCAGGACATTTATATCATCCCTGCTGAGGTAAGTAAGCAAATTATTTCTATCTGACGTGTTTGATCAGCCAAACATATTTAATGGTTCCTAGGACAGTTCATTCTAAAAGCTAAGCTTGTGTTGGCATCAACCAAAATGAGACCTATGAGTTCCAAATGTAGTTAATCAGTACACATGACTCCATCCAGAGTCTTTGTCAGTTTGCTTTGCAGTTTGTTTTCCTACCAAAACAGCTAAAGCAGCTAAATTGTCTTACAGTCATTTTATATCTTTAACATAGGAGTGTCAATAAGAAATTTGGTTGTATTGAAACGTATTTTTCAAATTGTGAAATATTCCTGTATTATGCTGTTAAAGAAAGACAGTAACACATTTACATTACCTTATCAGAGCATGAGTTGCAATGATATCAAACAACTAATCAACTACATAATATGGAGGTTGAACCAAATTCATTATCTGAAACAGAAAGAGCTGAGTAGAAATAAAACTAAATGAAGAACAGCTACAACAGGATTGTGAGTTTTAACATGTTTAAATTGTTGTTGAAAATGGGTTTGGGGCTAAATTTCGCCGATTGCAGTTCGGAAAGTGAAGGCAGAAAGTTAGTTTTCAGTTGGGTAGCCTCAAAACATTTCCACTTGCAGATATTGGGATGTTTTTTTTTCATTGGTGAAAATTGAATTGATTAGCCTCCAGGGTTTTGGTAGTGATCAACAGCTCATAAAAAAGCTACAATTTTGCATTTCATATAGTATATCAGAGAAAATGATCGACCCTTCAACAGTTTCAATTCAAAACAGAAAGTTGCCATGTCACCATTATTAAGTCTCCATGGACAATGAATTAGGAAAAATGCCATGGATGATACGGATGACAAACCCAGGTTAATGGGTACGTTTTCTTTTTCAAATGTAATCTATCTCCCATTCATCGTCTATGGTCCTCCAGCTTTAATACCTGATGACATCAAACGTTTCCTAGTTACTGTATTGGTTTATGGCTCTGAGAGAGATTATCTCATGTTCCCTAGGCCATGGGTATACAATATTTGAATTCTTAATTCAGGTGGTCTTTCCCTTTTAAAGGTGGCAGTAATGGCAATAAGCCCACAAGTCCTAACATTGCAACCTTTCCCCGAAATGTCAACATAAACACCTAGTTAATTAGTTTGCAAAGAGTCCCAAAGGAAAAAAAAGGTACAGATATTTACCAAAATATGTAATGCCCTTCATTTACTGACATTTTGTAGCCTTATATTACATTTCTTTGTATTTTGTAGAATTCAAATACACATGGATTCAATAATGAATAACTAATAGTGGACCTCCACTTCTCACAGAGCAGGAGATGCCCACAGTACCAGTGTGGCAGAGGACTATCTTGTGATTATTTTGGAAGTCAATAAGTCACAGTCTAGCACTAAGCTGTTTATTTTTGGCTCTGCCTCCCCACTTCTCCACAAAGCCAAAACAAAGCCTGTGTGAGCTGGCTCCTCAGATCGGCTGTCAAATGCCGCTCACAAATACCTGTTGTATATGTATCAGTGCAAAATGACTTCTTGGCTTATTCCCGTAGGCTCGCTGGCTGATCCCTTCCTGTGGCAATCTGCTGTCACAGCCAGCCACCAATCTTCATTTGGCCGTGTCGGAGCTATTCTCTCCAACCTGTGAAATCCCACGACTTGTTGTCACCTTCCTGACTTTTCAAGCCCCATTTCCCCCCTCTTAAAATGTCTCTCTGGCAATGTTTTCCTGTCAAAGTTCACTTCAACATATAACATGTTCAACATATTATATCCTACAGTTGTTTATCCTGTATTAAGCCAGCATGATGTCCTGTCCTGTTGCTGTTTCTTGTCTTTCTCTGAAGCCAGCTCAGATTTACTAAACTGGACTTGCTTAGTTTTGGTATTCCAACAGCAAAGGTTGTGGTTAGTAATAAAGATTGAAAGCGATCAACTCAAGATTAGACCCTGAAGACTGGGTGCTTAATCCTCAATGTAGATTAGGTTGAAAAGGAATACTAGGACAGCACTCCCATTCAAGTTTGTAATATTGTCGCATGGAGGTTCAGGAAAGATGCACATCTTCGGAGGTTCTCCTTTACTTCCTCAAGGCGTGTTGCCAAGGAAAACCGCTAATCACCCAGTTTACACTGAGGGAGTATTATCGGCAGCGGAAAACCAAATAGATAAAGCACCTTGTACCAAAAGTGAGTGACATCCATTAGAGCCACAGCATGCAGTGACACACCATTATTAATATCTGCCATTACTCTTTCTTGTTGTATCCTTACTTACTTTTCTTTAAAGCAAACTGAATCCCATCTTCAGATATATCAGCTAGTTAGCATCCTACTGTAGCAGCATCTACCACAACTACGTATTAGGGACATAATAGCTACAAAAAAACTACAGAGCCATTGATGAGGGGAGGAAAACTCAGACGTTTACAAAGAAATCATAATTAGTTGGGATTCTTGTCAAGCAAGTGTGTTGTATGTTCACTTGACTCCCCCTTCCCCAGCTCTGTATTTTTTAAATATCTTTTTAGCCTATAATCGCCCTAACACACTGTCAAGAGTAACACATACTACTCTTAAGTAGGGTTAGGGATTTTTTTTCCCCTGAAATCCTGTATCTCCCACATACAGTAGCACCAAATGTTAATAATGCCTCACAAATACACAGTTTGAACTAAATAGGAAACAAGGCAACAACTCCAACAATGGCGAGAAAACCATATTGAACCTTTTCAGTTATATTTACATCAACGGAATCCTTTCTTCATTCAGGTTTTCCTCGAACTGCGTAAAGTGTTGTCAGGGTTTTCGAACAAGACACCAGTACTCCCATTTCCCTCATCTCCTCCTTATCTGAGGTAACAGTTTGTGCCTCTCCTCCTCCTGCCTCCTCTCTATTCTCTTCATCTTGTAGTTCCACTTGGGGATCTGTAGCTGGTTGTTGTTGCGTCTCCGTTTGAGTATTTCGGGTAAGTAGCTTGAAGACGGGGCTATGCAGAGCCTCACTTTTGGCACCATCATGCCTGGCCGCACACTGTTCCTCCTCAGCAGATGCAGAGGCAGGAGGCTCGCTCGCCTCATGGCCAACGTGGCCACGTCATTCAGCAGGGGCTGCAGGCTGGCCCTCCGATCCAGCACTTTGGGAATAAGAAGGACCTTGGAGTTCTGGAAAAATCTCTTGTAGTTGTTCAGTCGTTCCGGGCCCATGCACTTCATCTCAGAAACCCGTTGCTTCCGCAGGATCTCCTGCACGGCCTGACGACGCTTCCCGAGACACGGGGGGCTGCCTGGACACACCGTGCGACAAGCTGTGGCCATGACCGGAGAGCAGATGCTGGTGGTGACCTGGACCATGTGCTCAAAAACTCCATCATCGACAGGGTCTACCTTATTATTAATGTAAAACCTATAATGGCAGCACGAAAATAAGTCCATCAACCGCTTCTTGCAGGACTTCGGCTCCTCGGACTGGGCCGCCCGCTCCTGCACAAGATCAAACGTTACAGGAATCATCAGTTTAAAGCATTATGAGGCGCATTCATAGTATGAGTGTAGTCATGATGGATTTATTGACCTCCAACATGGGCCACTCCAGGGAGAAGGAGTCACAGAACTGCTCAGCACAGGGCCTTGCTATCAGCCGTTGCATCAGATAGGCCGTCTCATATCGACCGGTGAAGAGAGCCCACTCCCTGGGTGTCAACTGGCGGCCATTGTCCCGAGCCTGAATATCGCCTCCTGGAA